TTTTTTTTTTTTTTTTTCTCGATTCGCGATAATTGTCGCGCAATTTGAGACACAACGAAACGCCGCGAATCTCAGCCGATACATACGGATTCCTCGTCTTTGGCCAAATTTCATTAGCTATATCGTTGGTATATTCACCGGATGTGAAACTGCCTTTCTCTAGTATCTACGCCGACTTTATTTCTCGTCGAACGTAGAACAGATAAGCTTGTGAGATTTTTTTTGTTATCTCATCGAGTATTGAAATAAAGAAATTCAAATAACGAGCATGTTATCGTCGTTTAATCTTCGAACGAGAAAGGGAGTGATGATTCAACTTGTTTTAATTTTCTAATTTATCAAGTTTTCATCCCTCGGTGTGAACGTATATCAAACGGTTAAATACTTGATGCCGTACCTAAGAAAATACCAAACGAGTCCCAAAGAAATGAACAGCCCTCGATAAAAGATGAGACTGGCGCCTAAGTAATCACTCCACTGCTTCTTATCGCACTTTCCTCGAATTACAGGCTGCTTATCACTTTCCCTGGATAATACTGGATAACACGATTCACCGGATACTCTAATTTCCGAGCGCGCACACACACATACACACACACACACCCACACACATTCGCAGTCGTTCGCACTTTTGGCACTTTGTCCCAAGAATTCGCTCGGCTAACCCGGGCCACAATTAATCCGCGAAAATGTCACCAGCACCGCTATCACAAACACTTATTTGACGATCTCCCAACTTCACGGCGTTCCAAAATCTCGCGGAATCCTCGCTGTTCCCTTCGAAGCGTGAAACTCGAGTTTCGATCCTTTCGGCTGCTGCTGTAACCGTAAACGTGTCCGCCGGGATTCGTGATTTTACAGCTACTCCCGTGTTCACTGCACTCTTCGGCTGTCTGCAGTATTTATAAAACACCGACCGGAAAGCGCGACTGGCGAGCTGATTTTGGCGCCGAGCCGGCTTGGCCGCGCGCGCTGACGCCTCGACGCGAACGTCGTCGTCTTCTTCGTGTGAATCGTCGTCGCGATCCTCGTCGTCCTCATCGTCGTTGTCGTCGTCGTCGATCGGTCGAACAACGCTCGTTTTCCAGCGGAATTTACTCGTTCACTTTCTGAAAGATTCTCGATTTTCGATCACTCGCGATTTCTCGCGAGCGACCGGCTGTTAATTTCCCGTTTTTCGCGTTAGAAGCCACGTGCCACCGAGAGGTGGCTGAACGCGTAATCGCGGCCCCGGGGAAATTGATGCGTCTGCGTCGCGACACGATGAGCTTTCTGCGAGCTTTATGGAAACGATGACTAATTCGCGAGTTATTTTCACGTGTGGAAACGCGGCCCTCGGGAGGGAAAAGTGGAACAACGGTGGATATATTTCGCGAGGAATGTGCTAAACGTCCATTCGAGTGAGATAAATGCGTTTATTTCGGCTGCGCCGCGCTGGCCCTACTAGAAAATTTAGTTTCCACGTAGGAGAGAGGGAATATTTGGCGGATTGCGTGGCATTCGTGAAATGTTGGTAGACCAATTTCAGAGGGAATACACAGTCACGCCGATTTATCATTGGATACATGGGAATAATTTTTGGGTATATAAGCAAATAGTACCAGCTCTCGTCGTTTCTCGATAGTTTCATTCAAGTGAAGATGGCGAAATGACTCGTAGGCATCGGAGTCGGAAAGATTCGTCTTTACTATCGGGGGGCAGGTTGGAGTTGCGCAATTTGTGTAATTAATAGAGCAATAGTGCGATAAAAATTATTCCGCCGGTAATAAAATCGCGAACGGTGGACATCTGTCGGAACGTTGCTGAACAACGTCTCTTCGGAGCAACCTCTGCGGAATCATTCATCTCGACTCGGTCGGTAAAATAATGGCAATGTTTTTTTAACGATTTACGCATATATCGATATCAATTGGCACACAACTAGCCAACTGTGTTGTATGATAAGAAAAAGAAAGAAAGAAAAAAAATTATTCGTTACGTAATCATTATATAATTGCATTGTACACCGTTAATGTACATTCGTTGTTACGCAGTACATTAGCGTTCGTTCCCTGAATCTTCTCGCAAATGGAAATTGGCCATTCCTTCGTGTACGTTTGTACATTTTCCACGAACGTGCAAACGTTCTACGGTTGAATGGTGTACGTGATATGTCGCGAGAAAGCATCTGGCTGTTTCAAATATTCGCGGTCTTTAAAGGCGGCAGTAGTTGGTGAGGAGTGGCTGCAGGTGGCGGCAACGTAGGCACACAGACGCCAGAGGATCGTTGTTAGTAGAGCCCGAAGTCCGACGAGTACGTTTTCTCAGCTTTCCCGTGTCACGGTGTCGCGAGCGCGTCTGTCGTTGGACGCTCGCGGTGTCCGTCGGTTTTTTTTTATCTAATCGGTGGAGGAAAATTCAATTCTGCGAGAGTGTGAGTACCACCGGTGGTGGCCGAGTGCTCGGGCCGAGACGTGTTGTGCGCCGTTGCAGGCGATCGAAAGAAGTCGCCCGAGAAACGGCAAAGAGGAGAAGGAAGA